TGCTTCATGTTACAGAAACCGGGATAAGCTCCGGCCTGATGGGCCACTTGGCTCGCATGCAGACTTTACCTTTACCTTTACCGTGTGTGGTTACAGGTTGTTTTTAATGTAATAAAACTGGTAGAATAAGGTATATTCTTTGCATAAATGTACTTTCAATGCATTTTGAACAGATAACTGCTTCAGCACTTGAGATTGATTTTGGAACTTTAGCAGCTTCCTTAAGCTGTGTACCCCTGCACAAACGTCTTGATATCTCAGCTGATGGAATACACGTATGTATCTTAAATACTGTCCTCTTGTTGTTATCAATTAAGTGGACAGACAATAATAGAGTGAAATTTGTACGAACTTGAAAATCTGTTAATTATGTGGAGTCATTGAGGGTTCATGATTTGTTTCATCTGTGCGGAATTGAAAGGATCAAACAAGCTTTGGTGTGAGCCTTGTACTATGGACCTTAAAAATGCTGAAAGCTTCTCAGAATCTGTATGCTCTGTTCTGCATACTCACTAAACCAAACAAAGGGAGTGTGTGTTTCACTGTTTGCTACACCACATTGCTTCCAAAGTTCTAGTTTTGCTTGTTTTCTTGCATAATATTTGGTGGTCGTGTGATAATCGCTCTAGTAGGGTGCCTCCCTTATGTTTTTTCCTGCTCACCTACAAATGTAATTCTTCCATTGAAAACTGAAAGGCAAACCATCAAAGACATTTCAAGTAAATCAGACATTCATAAGCACAAGCATAGGCATAATGTTAGTGAGAATGCCCACATAAGAAGCCCGCAACACAAGCCTGGAATAGATAATTATTTTCTATGGCATTTGTAGAATGCAGACTGCAGATGACTGCAGACTTTTTAACTCATATCATATTTCCATTTCCATTACTGAGAGCTAACTTTAAACAGGCTACCCTGAGTGCTATTCAAGCTAGCCTGAGTGCTATTTTGGCCTAAATGTAGTCTGCAATCTGCAAATGTCATACACCATCACAAGCACACTGCTAGATATTTGTTCTACTTGTGCATGTGCTTATGCTTGTGTTGTGTGCTTGTGTTCTGGGTGTCCTCACTACTGTTGCTTATGCTTATGCTAATGTTGTAGTGAAAACCATGCTCTAGAAATGTGCATTAAACAAATTGTTTTCCTTTTCAGCCAGATGTTGTTAAGGAGTTTGAATTGAATGCAAATGCACATTTAAGGGAACAACATAAAACTGAAGCAGATATTTCACCAAGGTGTTCTAATGCTGAAACTGTCACTAAGCCTGTGGCAGTAACAACAACAGAGCCAAGACCTTCTCTGGTAAACACTCTTCAAAACTCATTGTCACCACATGGTGTAAGCAACTGTGAACAGGATATCAATAAAAAAACTTCTAAACAGTCTGGCAATAACTCTAAACAATTCACTCGCTCAATAAAAGGTGATTTGTCACACGTAAAGAAGCCAGGAGATGGAAGAGAATCTTGCACCCTACATAACACACAAAACTTGCAGAATTCATTAAAAGATGTTTTGCACACTGTCAAGACTTCTTCTAAGACTGGTACAGTGGAACAGTTAGCTCAGTCAAGTGATAATGAAGATGATGAACTTGAATTCCTCCTTTCACTTGGAACACCTGGAGTTAAAGATAGTAACAAACCCCTTGGTGGAAACCAGTCAAATAAGGTTAGTAAAAGGTGATGGTGTACTCACAGCACAGGCCAAAATACGCCTAGTATGCAGTCAGTTAGTCAGTCAGTCAATCAGTCAGTCAGTCAAGCAGTCAGTCAGTCAGTCAGTCAATCAATCCAAAAGTAATGCATAAATACATCTATTTAATGTTTCAAAAAAAAAAAAAAGAGATTCTTAATTCACAAATGTGATTAGCGGTATGAGTTTTCCAATTAATTGTATACAGTTATGGTAAATGTTATTTAATTTGTGTTTTTATTACAGTGTAATTAATGGACGAACATTTCAGTGCTGTCAAACCTTTATTGTAACTAGACCAACACCTCCCTTTGGAGAGTAAGGTGTAATAAAGATATACTATTATTATTACTAATCAATCAGTCAATTAGTCAATCAGATATAAATAAATAAATAAATAAATAAATAAATAAATATACATTTATATAGTGCCATTTTCCACTAATTGTCCATGGCGCTTTACAATACTTTAAAATTAAAATCCTAAGTTTAAAATCCTAAAATTAAAATCCTAATTCTTTAAAAAACCCAAAATCCTAAATCCTAAAAGATATGAATCAGTCAATGTAGATTCTGGCCAGCTTTTTGCCATCATTATATGAAATTTATTTCTCAACTGCAGACAGGGTGACTGAAACTACATGTAGTCCAGGCTTTCTATTTTTGTTGTGTTAAGTGGCCAGCTCAGCTGCTTTGTTGACCTACTTGACCATGGAGTATATAGCTAGGGTGTTAGATCCTGAATTAAACAGTTGTACAGGTCAATGTGGTCCACTTTTAATTTGACCAAAATTCCTGTTTCAATTTCTGAAAATTTTCAGTGACAACTGGAACAGCATTTTCCATAATTTGTAAAAAAATAGTCTTGACAACCTCGAAGGGTATATGCAATTTTTTTTTTTTGAAGATTTCTTACTGAGCATTTTCATTTCATTTGACATTTCAGGAATTTTCTGTGGAATGGTCTGTATCTTAAAAACTGAACCATTCTCATATATTTTCTGGAAACTTTCCAAGGAAATTTCTGTACCATTTGCCCTTGTTTTATAAGGTCTCAAATATTTGAGTGAATGAAAAGCACCCATGTAATGCACACAATTTAGATTTCTTTGGCAAACCATAAGTGACATCTGATATTGTGATTTTTTTCTAGGTTTCTTCAGCATCTGTAATAGTTCCATCTTCATCTGTAAAGCCAACTGTTCAGTCCGCAAAGAAAGCTGAGGATGACCTCGAAGACTGGCTGGATAGTGTACTGGGCTGACTTTATTTATCTTGTTAGCAAATACTCTAACTATTGTAACATCTGAATTAATAATAGCAAACTGACGCATATGATCTGAACAAAAATTCAGTTGGTCATCTTGATGGACTTTAATTGCATCAGCAGTGTAATAATTTCATGAGCAGTACATGTACAACTCCTTTACAAGGTCCAGCCTAATCCTGGGGAAGCTGGGAGGGGGTTTATTAATTTCCAGATATGTAGCAGGAAACCCTGGATGGATCATTTGAGGTGACTACGATTATCAGTTGAGTAAGGCATGACAGAAGTTTGGTGACAGAGTTTTAGTTTTAAAAGTATGGTGTTGTCACGGACAACTTACGTCGTTACCATTAGTAACAATATCAACAGCCATGCATTGCCTTATATGTTACCTACAATTTTGCGCAATTTGCTGACAATAACGTCAAAGCCTGACAAGTTGCCACTGGAAACGGAGCCAGTTGCCCGTGACAACAACACAATGTTCATGTTAAAATCTGGTCGCACCTGATAATCGTAGTAACTTAGCCTTTTCTAGGCAATTGAGTAGTTGGGTCCCTTATCCCTTTTTTCATTTTTTTTTAAACTTGAACTTCTTTGTGCTGTCTCCAAACTACCCATAACTGAACACCTGTAACAGGATAAGGTTATCTCCTCCTCCCTCCCCCCCGCACCTCTTTTTTTTTTGTCCATTAGTCCCAACAATCATCAGTCTCCAATAACATTTCCATGTCAATTTATTAGTCTGTTGTTTTAATTACTTTTTATTTCTTGTATTGAAGAAGTTTCCAGTAGTGTTTGATGACACTACCGTAATGATTCGACTTAGCACCCTCCTTCCAATAAGTGCCCCTTTTCAAATAAGCACCCCTCTTTTAATGTCTTTTTTTAATAAGCGCCCCCATTCCAATAAGCGGCCATTACAGTGCTGTCAGAGTATGGATTAGCTAAGGTTTTTATTCCTTGATTGCCCACATATGTAATGCCGCATTACAAAACAGTGGTCTTAGTCTGAGTTTCTCAACTGTTTATTTCCATGTGAGTGCATAATTCCTTCAAATCCAGGGACAACAAGTCCATTTTCCAGTCTCCTTGATCCAGTCACATTCGGTTGTTTCTCAAAAAAGAAATAAGCGCCCTGTCTCAAATAAGCGCCCTCCCTTGTGGTACCAAAAGTAAATAAGTGCCTCAGGCACTAAATCGAATCATCATGGTACTTGTAGCGAGTTAGAATCAATTCGGGTAGTAAATCTATTCACATGATAATCTTATAGCTTTACAACAACAGCAACTTAAGTTTTCAATGAGCTATCAGTTTTTCATGTGAAGTTGTCACAGATTGATTAATTCTATTGTTAAGCTACCGATAGTTGTTGACTCCATTAGTTAGCCCCCCTTCTCCCCATCCACCCCCACACACACATACCAAAAAAAATCAGCTTCCTAATAAACTTTTCCTGCATTCCACTTCAGTGCGTACGGACAATAGCACCAGAGCGAGGTTGGGATGGACATTTTCATACATTTGCTGTATTTTTGTCCACCCTGACCTCTGCTTAATTTGGCATCATTGTTTGTTGGGATGCGGGAAAGGTCCATAATAAACCCAGAGGTTTCCTATAAATTATTGTTAGTTAGCTCATAGAGAACAATAAATTTATTCCTATTACAAAGTAGCTTATGTTTTTCAAAGTTTCAATCCTCATTTGTCAGTACATTGGCAGTGCTCTTTTCTAAATATTAACTTTCCAGATATTACATTCCCTTCAAAATAATCCCAACAAGTCTTACAATTATGATCATTCTTGCTAAGAATACCCCCCTCAACCCCTTCAGAAAAATAGCCCATCAAGAAAGCCTTTTGAGCCAAAACAAAAACTGTCGTACTCTTACAGTAGATTTCAGATTCAGTAGAGTCACTAACAACTTCAACTTCCAGATAAATGCCAGTTGCAGTTAAACTGCTTAAATTGTAAAACTACTAAACAATGCTACTTGAACGGTCACATTTTAGTTAACACTTGCCCCAACCAGAACTACATCCTTAGGTAGCACTAAAAAAACTTAACCAAACACTAACACTACTGTACCTGAATCTCGCAAGGCTGGGAAAAACCAGACACCACTGATTTGCACGGGCCACAAAAAAACGCGACAAAATCACAAGGACCAGGGGAGTGTCATTTAAGGGTATTTCCAGCTTAATTCATCATACAATTGCACCATGAAATCAATCATGTTGATTCACATCATTGTACATTACTGAACTGAGCATCACGCCGTCATGACACGTCATGGTCCTGTTAAAAATTCTAACCACAAACCATGAGCCGAAAATTGTCATCGCTTGAAGAGACCCCAAGAGATACACCAAGTCTTTGCTGTATGCAGTTTAGTCTCGCGAAAAAGATTTCAATTGATGCATAACATGATTGCATGGCACTTCATCAAGATCAATTTGCACTGCCTTTATACTTTACACTGAATTTAGCTGCAATTACAGTCAAACTAGACTCCTTGACTCCCTTTAACTTGAGCTGATAATATTAACATTACGGGTTCTTTCTGTTCATAAAAAACGTTTTTTCAATCTATTTGTAACTGAGCTCAACTCCTTTAGTGGAACATACTCAGGAAATTACTGTGCCAATGTTTATTATTCACTTGATGTTGGCAGCACATCTGAAGAAAGCGGTTCAAAGTTTACACATAAACTTGCACCAGTGCTGGTTACAGGAGAATCTCTAAAATAATCTTCAAAATGTTGACTAATAAGGTCCAAAGAATTGACTCCTCTTGTTCTTCACTTTCACTATACTGTCTTTCACTTTCTTCTCCCCCAGAATAATCCATCAAAACTTTCATTGTGTACTTTGTTACGGGAGCATACACGTGTCCAAACACTGATATTCCAATTGGTCTCTTGTAATAACTTGGAATAGTAACAACATCTTCGCCGCAAGTGTCCGACTTCAGGTCATAGTTATCAAAATCAGGTTTGAGACTATCCTGTGATATATAAATGTCAGCATCACCTTCCGTACTCTCCAGAATCAATGTCACATCTCCTTCTTTCTTTAGGGTAAAATAAGTCAAATTTCCAGGGCCTATTTCGCCATAAAAAGTCTGAATAACATGTTCACAGGATGCAAGCCTCAGAAGAGGAGAAATGAACAAAAGGAGCCATAATGTCATCTCCATTGCTGACAGAACATTAAATTCATTCAGTTGATTTCAAATCACACAACAGTGTCCTGAAAGAAAAAAAAATCAAAACAGAAATGGTGGTTTGGATTTCAGACAAGTCTCAGGGAGGGGAAGTAATGATATGGAGAAATATGCCTGGAGGGGGGACTACAAAATGAAAAGGTTGGGGGATGATCATCATCTCACTTCGCAGTATAAATCAAAGATTATGGTCTCACTTGGGATGTTGATGACAAAACACCAAGTGCTATTTTTAGCTGTCAAAATATCTTTTAGCTCCTTTCCTGAACAGCATCTGGTAATCGAGCTTATTCTGTTTTAAGTGGTATCTTTTAGGGGTCAAATAAAGCTCGAGCCATGCCCAGGTTGGTTGACAAGCCTCCTGACCTTTTCATATGGGAGTTCCCCACCCCCCTTCCCGCTGGGGAAACATGACTCCCTGTATAGCGGCAATATGAAAAAAAGAGCAACTGCATTCAAAGCAAACTTTGAAGCTGCCAACACTCCATATTTTGATTTGATCCTGAAGCATGAGTACTTAATGATATGAGTCAATAAAATTACATTTAAATTCATCCACACTTATACTCCTGGCACTGTGAGAGGAAAGTTTCTCTTTCAAGAACACAACACTACAACCCACATAGCACGCAACAGATGACTATCACTTTAAACAGACTTGTAGGGGGCTGTAGACTCAAAGAATTCTGGGAGGTAACAAGTGAAAATGCCCCCAAAACAAAATCCCCCAAGGAAAAAACCCGTTCCTTTCACAGTATGCAGAAAATATTTAATAAACTCATTTGAAAACAACTTCCAACATGGGCAAAACTGGCTGTATATTCCTCATTCTTGAAACGTATCAAGTCATAGGTGTAATTGTTCAAAAGTCAATTCAAAACTTCAGCATCCACCCCTTCTCCCTGGGCAACTCCCTGGGCACTTGACATTTTGAAATTTCATTTGGTTAAATTCCCAATGCCTGGGCCAAAACTGGTGGTCAAATGCCCCCACCTTAAGCCCGGTGGGACATTAAGGCCATTCTAGGCGATTGAATACCCCTAGCCTCAGGAAACATGGGATAACTTGAGTAATGGAAAGGAAAATTCACCCTTAAACAACTTCTTACCCTCAGTTGTGTCCCAAGTTTTGTTTTAGGATGTTAATACTGTGGCTTTTAATGATGCACAAACTCTGAAGTTCAAATCCTAGAATGTTGTTGTCTCTTGATGGCTTATAGCTTCACCATGATCTTGAAGTAAGTTGTTGAAATTCCTCCCTTCTCCTCCCATATCACTACCTTATTTTACTTATCCTCTTTGTCCTGGTTGCGACATAAGACCACAATCATATCCCGCTTCTCCCACACCTCCCCAAATCAACCATTGATGTCAAATTCCTGCCCCCTGAGGCAAATCATCTTGTCAAACACACAGGGTACCTGTATGTTGATGTTGCTATTTGAGTGACACATTACTCCACATAAGTATC